CCTCTCCTCTCCCCTTGCCACCTCTCTCTGCCTTATCCACGCTGAGCCCGGCCAAGGGGCGCACCTGATCACCCTCCTCTCCATCCTCCTCCTCCTCTTCCCTGTCCTCCTCCTCTCCATCCTCCTCTCCATCCTCCTCTTTCTCTTCTCCATCCTCTTTTTCCTCCCCATCTTCTCCATCTTCCTCTCCATCCTCTTCTTCCTCCTTCCTCCTCTCCACCCAGCTCTTCCTCCTCCCCATCCTCCTCTTCCTCTCCATCCTCCTTTGCCTCCTTCCTCCTCTCCATCCTCCTCCATCCTCCTCTTTCTCCTCCTCTCATCCAGCTCTTTCTCATTCCCAACTTCCTCTTCCTCCTCCTCCCCATCCTCCTCTTCCTCCCTCCTCTTCATCCCCCCCCAGTACCCGACCCCAGCGCAGCGCATGTAGCACCCCTCCCCTCCCCCAGCTCTGACAGTAGCCAAGTTTGGGTGACAGCCGCCCAAATGGCCAAATGGCTCCGGGACTACCTGAGCTTTGGGGGGCGGAGACCCCCTCCGCAGCCGCCGGCCCCCGACTACACGGAGAGCGACATCCTGAGGGCCTACCGCGAGCAGAAGGACCTGGACTTCGAGGACCCCTACGAGGACGCGGACAGCCGCGCCGAACCAGAGCCCGCGCCCCCCGCCGACCCCAAGTACAACTCCCCCAAGCACCGGCTCATCAAGGTGGAGGCCGCCGACCTGGCCCGGGCCAAGGCCCTGCTGGGCAGCCCCGGAGAGGAGGTGCGTGACTGGGGAGACCCCAGGATGAGGGTACTGGGTGGGGAGCGCCAGGCTCTGCACCCTGAATCCCTGAATCCGGGGAGCCTTGTGTATGAGGGTGGAGGGGGTGTGGTGCCAAGAGGGGAGGGAGCGGGGGACACTTCCTGCCCTTGCCCCTGCTGGACCTGGCCTCGCCCCTCCTTCGGGCTTCGTGCCTCCTCCAGGCTCTTCTCCCTGAGCTGCTCACAGCCTTAACTCTCCCTTAGCCTGTTTTGCTTGTTGTAGTGACCCCATTTCACAGAAGTACAAACTGAGGCTCGCAGGTGAGACTGACTGACTCTCCCCCTAGGGCCTTAGCACATGAGATTTGAACTCACACCTGCCTGCAGCCACTGTGCTGGGTTTGCATTTCGTGTTTTTTTTTTTCTTTTGGCCAGGAAAGGGGCTTGGACTCAAGGCTCATATTTGCTCAGCTTGCTTTGCTTACTTGCCTGATGCTCTGCTATGTGAGCCACGCCTCTAGCCAGGCATTTGGCTGTTTTGTTTTTATGTCTGTGCGGCGGGTACCAAAGGCTTGAACTCAGTGCCTGGGTTGCTGTGTCCCTGAGCTTTTCCCACACAAAGCTGGTGCTCTGCCACTTGAGTCACAGCTCCACATTGGGCTTTTTGCCCAGTTAGTTGGAGATCAAAATTTCACGGACTTTCCTGCCTGGGCTGGCTTCAAACTAGGATCCTCAGGTGGCAAAGGGGAACTTCGGATACCCAGGGATTGTGCTCACTAGCTGTGTGACCCAGCCCAAGTCCTTTGCCCTCTCTTGTCTTGCGTTTCTCATCTGCCAAATAGACATGGGTGTACTAAGTATACCTAAATGAGGTTCTGGCAACTGAAAATAGTAACTGTATGAAAGCAGAGCAGGTGGAGTGTGTGTATGGGGGGGGGAATGGCTCCCGGCTGTGAACATTTGCACACTCTACAGGATAGATTTCCCCCTCCCTCTCCCTTCCTTTCTCTCCCTCTCTCCCCCAACAGAAAGCCCAGAACTGTTCTGAGATGCTAGGCTCAGCCGCCTTTGACCTCTGGCTTTCTTCTCTAATCAGCTGGAAATGGACCCCGAGTACTCAGACCCTTTCGATGCTCAGCCTCACCCCCCGCCCCCCGATGATGGGTACATGGAGCCCTATGATGCCCAGAGGGCTGTAAGTGGTAAGAGCAGGGCTGGGGGGAGGGGAGGGGACAAGTTCTTTGTGGAAATGGTAGCTGATGGGTGTCCTGCCCTCTCCCCGCCCCCCAGAACAGCCGTGCAGGGCAGTACAACTGTATGACACCCCCTACGAAGAACAGGACCCAGAGCTTGGTGAGGAGCCCGCTCCCGGGCAGAAGCCTCAGCAGAGCCGGCTGCCTGGGGAAGATGAGCGGCCAGCCGATGAATATGACCAGCCCTGGGAATGGAAGAAAGACCACATCTCCAGAGCATTTGCAGGTCTGTCTTTTAGCCTTTTAATCTAGGCAGGCCCTAACCTCTACTTCCTCTTTCTGGCCTTGGGGACCGCCCCCCTCACCCCCTTTCAGATATAACCTGAACCCAATGTACATAACACTAGCAGTTTCATTGTTACTCAAGATAGTGCTTGTAAACTGCATGCTAGAAAGTGCTTCCTTATTCTCCTATGCAGGAGCTATTAGAAGGCTAGAGCAGAATGTTTTAGCAGCTGTCAGCCAGGTAGAACTGAGTGAGCTCAGGTGAATCTCAGAACTTGGGTTTAGCTGGTCCAGTGGCTCACACCTGTAATCCTAACTACTCAGGAGGCTGAGATCTGAGGATTCCAGTTCAAAGCCAGTCTGGATACCTAAAAGTCAGAAGTGGATTTGTGCACAAAGGGTAGAGCCAAAAATAAAACCTAAGAGACAATGTCTAGACCCTGAGTTCAAGCCCCAGTAATGGCACACACATTTTTAAAAAATACGAGAGAGAGAGAGAGAACAATCTGTTTATTCATTTATAGAATAAGTAATGATAAAATAGACTTGACAAAAAGGAAAGGAAGAGTTGGAACAACACAACTTGGCCCCAGAAACTGCAGGACTGGGAGGTAATTGGGGCTCCGTACTGCAGTCTCCCCTGTCTGATGTTTTGAGGGTGTTTCCCAAGTTTATATCTCCCCCCCAATTTAGGGCAGAACTCCAGAGAGGAATTCAGATCTAGAGGCCCCTAGTGGAGATTCCAATCTGCCCCTCTAGCCACACCCCCTGGATTCTGATTGGTGCACAGTATTCGGCCCCGCCCCTGTGACTCCAAAGTTAGGGCCTGGTGTGACCACACCCTTTCTGGGATGAGCCTTTCACACAGCCCGTTCTCTTCTGGGTTCTGATTGGCTGTTACAAACGGACACACCTTCCCGCTGCAATTCCACTGGTGGCTCCCAGCCACGCCCCCTCGAAGTAGGCGGGACTTAACGCGTTTCTCTCTCAAACGCCCCTGAACAGTGCAGTTTGACAGTCCCGAGTGGGAAAGGACCCCAGGTTCCGCCAAGGAGCTCCGGAGACCCCCGCCCAGAAGCCCCCAGCCTGCAGAGCGCGTGGATCCGGATCTACCCCTGGAGAAACAGCCGTGAGTGGGGTAACTGGGGGTTGTACCGTAGAGCTCCATAGAACCCCTCGGACCATTGTCAGACTCCATTCATCCTGAATTGGATCTTTTTACTTTATTTCTATTTGGACCAGTCCTGGGACTTGAACTCAGAGCCTGGATGCTGTCCTTGAGCTTAGCTTTTTTTTTTTTTT